TCCTGGGTCTCAGCATCTTCTTCTCGAAGGATTGTGAGGCGTTTTTTTTGAGTTGGGGCTTCACTCTGTCATCCAGGCTGGAGTGCAGTGGCATGATCACAGCTCACGGCAGCCTCAACCTCCTGGGCTCAGGTGATCCTTTTGCCTTAGCCTCCCAAGTAGCTGGGGCTACAGGCATGGCATGCACCACCACATCTAGCTGATTTTTTATTTTTTGTAGAGACAAGGTCTGTTTATGTTGCCCAGGTGGTCTTGGACTTCTGGGCTCAAACTATTCCCATATTCCCAAGGGCTGGGATGACTGCTGTGAACCTGGCTGTACACTGGGGCCATCTGGGAAATTTTAACAAACGCCACTGCCCAAACCCCACCCCCAGCCAGTCTGATTTAATGGCTAGAGAGGAGTACCTTGGCATCAAGATTTTCTTTCTTTTCTTTTTGAGTTGGAGTCTCACTCTGTCACCCAGGCTGGAGTGCAGTGGCACGTTCCCGGCCACTGCAGCCTCGACCTGCTGGGCTCCGGTGATCCTTCCGCCTCAGCCTACCAAATAGCTGGAAATACAGGCATGCACCACCACGCTTGGCTAATTTTTTTATTTATTGTAGAGATGAGGTCTCACCAAGTTGCCTAGGCTGGTCTCAAGCCCATAGACTCAGGCAGTCCTCTCACCTCGGCCTCGCAAAGTGCTGGGATTATAGGTGTGAGCCACTATGCCTGACCGACATCAAGATTTTCTAAAGGTCTCCAGATGGTTCTAATGGGCAGGCACTGCTGCTTCTGGAGACAGAAACTTGCAGTTACTTACAGAATCTGCTGTGTGTGTCCCAGCCTGTCCTGAAAGAAATAAGCATTTCATTGCCTTTCTCTACTTACCCTGGAGGGGAAAGTTTTTTTTGGAAAAATTATTGCTCCTTCAAGGTCCTGGTTTATTGCTTTTTTCCAAAAGGGTTGTTTCATCATATGTTGATCCTTTTTTCTTCCCCTGTTATTAGAAAAGCTCTTGTTTAAAAATCTGAAATCAGATAATAAGAAACTAAAAATCACCCGGATTCCCACCACTCCCTAGTAACCATGGTTGGGCAGGATTCCTGCTGGACCCGAGGTCGGCAAGCCACCGCCTGCAGTGAGATCAGGAGGACCCAGGCGGAGAGGGTCTGGTCTCCCCTCCAGACAGGCTTTGGGACTCTGGAGGGCAGCTGGTTCTAGGATGCTGGGATGTCACTTTCCAACCATCAGGACTTTGTGCAGGGATACTGCCCACCCGCTTGGGGAGTGGAGCCTAGGAAGAGAGACACAGCAAAGCCAATGCTACATAAACACAATGTAATTAACCTTGTGGTACATACCAGGGAGAAGCACAGGGTACATGATAGCCGATGCGTGACACCAAAAGCTCAAAGAAAGACTAAAGGTCCTCATGGTAACAGGTTCATTGTCCCATCACCATGCAGGCAGATCAGTTACTTCCACCTGTGATTCAGAAACCTATTGCTGCTCCCAATGCTTGCTTGTGCTAGAAGTCCCTAAAGTTCCCCAGAACCGAGAGATTCTGTGGTGCTGCCAGACTTATCTTTTCAAAGCTCAACTCTGGGGGAAACCACCAGTCTCCCTTTTTAAGGGTTTTCCCTTGAGTAGTCCCCATTGCCCCCCAATTAGAGTTTAGACTCCTCAGTCTATGTGTAGATGGCCCCCTGACTCTGGTGTCAGTGGTCTTTCCCACCCTCTCTCTTGCTATGTCCCTGGGATTCCCAGAGTGGGAAGCGGAAGGGGGTTTCAGTGGCCACAACTGTCCTGCCTTCCTCCCTGTCAGTGTGTGTATTCACGCTTCCCAAGCTTGGAGTGCCATTTCTCTTTCTCCACTCCTGCTAACCTTTTTCAGTCACTGCTTGACTGCAGTAAACTGTCCCAATTCTGAACTCCTTTAGTTTTATCAGTGTCTGACTTAGGGGTTTCTTTCGTGTTCTACCTTGTAGTTTAGTTATTTAAGTGGCATCTAATAGCCACTTTGGCCTTTCCGTGTCTCCAATGGGGCAGTTTGTTCTACCACAGGACCTTTGCATTCACTGTTCTTTCAGCCAGAATTGCTCCTCCTAGAGCTTCCTTTTACTAGCCCCTTGTAGAAACATGCTGCATGACAGTAGGAACCTTTGTCAGCTTTGTTCACCACTATGTTCCCAGTACCTGGGACATAATAGATGCTCAACACATGTTTATTGAGTAAATGAGTGAATATCCCATGATTCAGACATTTCTTATATTTCTGGCCTAGGCTTATAACTAACAGTAGATTTTGTCATTCTTTGATTATTCACTATGACTTTTGCATAAACTGAAGTTTTCTTCTGGTTATGGGTGTTTTCCTTACATCTACATCCGTTGGAACTCTACACTGAAAATACCAGTTGGAATTCTCAGCTGGAAGTCTAAGATATACACCTACTGGTAAGAGGTCAAAATTTACATCTGGCCGGGCACGGTGGTTTACACCTATAATCCCAGCACTTTGGAAGGCAGAGGCGATAGGATTGCCTGAGCTCGGGTGTTTGAGACCAGTCTGAGCAACTTAGTGAGAACTTGTCTCTACAGTAAATCAAAAAATTAGCCTGGCGGGGTGGCGCGTGCCTGTGGTTTCAACTACTTGGAAGGCTGAGGCGGAAGGATTGCCTGAGCCCAGTAGGTCGAAGCTGCGGTGACTGTGAGCGTGCCACTGCACTCCAGCCTGGATGACAGAGCGAGATTCCAACTAAAAAAAAAAATTTACATCTATAATTTTTTTCATCTGTTTTATTAATTTGAGAGTGAAAATTCTTTCTTGAGGATTTTAAAACCAGAATTTTTATTTATGGACTCTTAGACCTAAGCACTTCTAATGTGATAATGTAAATTTTATTTTTAAAGATTGCTTAATACATTTAATAGAGATGCTGAATCAAATTGCCTTTTATATTTTTATCAATTTGATATGTATCTAAAAGCACAATAAACTGAAACTCAAAGATCTAGGAGATGATATTAATGTGTAGTCGTTGGATTCAGGAATTAATCAAGTTTTCTAGGTAATTGAGCTTTTATCATACCTATCATAGTGATAGCTTTTAACCAGAGAAAATTATCTTTTTTTTTTTTTTTTGAGTCAGAGTCTCACTCTGTCACCCAGAATGGAGTGCAGTGCCACTGGTAGAGTTAGCTGTTTCATGATAGCTATTTCCAAACCATTCCTCTTTCTGGGAAATAGGCCAGGAGTCCAAGGCTGCAGAGAGTTATGACCATGCCACTGCACTCAAGCCTGGGTGATAGAGAGAGACTGTCTGAAAAAAAGAAAAAGAAGAGAAAACTATATATGTTAGATTACAGATCTCAGTGGGACCTCCAAAAATGTTAGGTCAGGCCTGCTGGGGTAGGGTATGCAATCCAGTGCCATGAAAAAGATGCAAAGAATTGCATATAAGTTAGATTAGAAAATATAGTTTATTTAAAAAGTAAATTAGGCAGGGAAAGAGAGAGAAAATTCACCCCCCCATCCCAAGGTAGTGGGGGGGACCAAAGCCAAGAAACATGGTGGCTATAGCTCAAAGAGCCACGTGGACACTCCAGAGTTTAACAAACCAATGGTGCCTGGCTGCTTGGATTGATGCTTTTAAACATTCCCCATTAACCTATAATTCTAGCACTTTAGAAGGCAGAGGGGAGAGGATTGCCTGAGTTCAGGGGTTCAAGACCAGCCTGGGCACCAGAGACTGAGCTAGTGATGGATTGAAGATGCCCTTAACCTTTTCATCCTCTGATGCAGTCTCAGCTCTGTTGCTGTAGAAGTGCATTTCTACAGTGCATGTGAATAAGTAGCCAGTGCTCTGCACTTTGTGGACACGTAATAAATATTTGACCAAAATAAGACCACAGATAGGCATTTTTCCTGGTAATTTTTGTTACCTCTATATAATCTTTTTTGGCTTCTCCATTTTCCTAATTTGTTACTGGGATGGATAAGTAGAGCACAAAGAGAGTTTTCAGAGATCCTTCTGGTAAACAAATGGAATGAGGAAAGGATGTCTGGTGGGCGTGATGCCAACTTGGGAATTCCAGGCTCTTCTTAGACCTGCCACGTTTCAGTAGAGTAGCAGTTCTCTAACTGGGCTCTGCCTTGTCTGCAGCATGTCAAGGTGCCGAATCATCTCTGCGTAGATCAGTGAGGCTGTGATGACCCAGCACTTTAGGTTCCCAAAGGATAGGAATGGAGCTTGCTGCCAGCATGTGCCAGTGCCTGCTTGTGATAACTGATGGTTCTCAAGGGCCATGAAGATATTTCGGAGCACTTTTTATTGACATAGGAAAATACACATTGATGTCAATTAAAAACTATTGAATGTATTTCATAGAGGTGATGAACAATTCCAGCTTTGAAAAATATGTTTTTGTATGTATACAGGAGCTCATCTGGAAACTTACCAAAATGTTAACAGTGGTTGCCTCTGAGTGGTAGGATTACAGGTGGGGCAGATTATGGGTGGATTTTCTTTTATCTATTTTTTGTGTTTTCTAAATTTTCTACCATGATCGCATATGAATTCTTATGATATTTTTATTTTGTTTTTAGACAGAGTCTTGCTCTGTTACCCAGTCTGGAGTAATCATAGCTCACTGCAGCCTCCAACTCCTGGGCTTAAGCAATCCTCCTGCCTCAGCTTCCCAAGTACAGACACTTGCCACTACACCCGGCTAATTTTTGCTCTGTATTTTTTGTAGAGATGAGGGTCTTGTTAGTTGCCCAGACTCTTATATAATGTTTCTAAAAGTTATTTTGGGGGCAACCCTTTCAAGTCCCCTCCCACTGTGGGAGCTTTTCTGTCCTCTCAATAAATCTTGCTTTCTCAAAAATAAAAAATAAAATAAAATAAATTATTTTGCCCAGCGCTGTGGAGCTGCTCATTGTGTGACCCTGTGCTGAGGGTGTTCTGAGGTGTGCCCGGTGGTATGTTCTAATGGTGTGACTTCGTCTCAGTCCAGGATCTGTGTGCCTCAGAGGACCACGGCTGTGAGCAGCTCTGTGTGAATGTGCCGGGCTCCTTCGTTTGCCAGTGCTACAGTGGCTACACCCTGGCTGAGGACGGGAAGAGGTGTGTGGGTGAGTATCCCCCCCCAGCCTGGTTTAATGGAGAAGGACGAGATCAGGACGTAAGAAGGGAGGAGGAGGTGCCCACGTGCCTCCCACGTATCTGTTTCTTTTTCCTTGGGTTTCTCAGTTCGTTGGTCGAGTTGTTAGGCAGAATTTGAACTTTAAAGACTTTATGGATGGCCGAGGTCAGCATTCTGGTCCTCGACAAAAGGCATACTTGTGATAATTCATTTAAATGTGGTTGGCTGTTACTGCCTCGCTTGAATAGGACTTGGGGGATTTTCTTCAAATTTGGAGGTTATGTTAGGAATGGCCTGACTTCAATATAGCTCATAAGTTACACAAGAAATTCACTCAGTGGCAGGCAGGGTTGCTGAGTGGCACCTCATAGACATAGGCAGCCTTCCTCCCTAGTATTGGACCTGCAGCTCAGGGCTGGGCCCAAGTGACGGCCAGATGTGAGAGCCCAGCCATATGTAGTAAGATAGCACAGTTGGAGCCAACAAACAGTAGCTTCAAACACAGGTCCAGGTAAGGAGTCCCAAGGGCAGTGTTTGGAACTGCAGGCACCGACCCGGGGTCAGTTGAGCGCTCCCCATGTAGGCCATTCCACATGGAGTTACAGGTGAGCGCTCCCCATGTAGGCCATTCCACATGGAGTTATAGGTGAGAGGTAGAAGAGGTGGGTGATATCTGATATCTTCAGTCATGGATAATGGTTCTCCTCTGCACCTCTGTGGAGCCAGCCAGCATGTCCGTAATATGCATGTGGCACCTTCCTGTTTGTCTACAAAGCCCTTTAAACTTGCATGGGCTCATTCCTCCTTATACCAATGAACAGTGCCTGGTGAATAGTGGGTGTTTAATAAACTGAACTGGATACTCGTGGGGCAGAAAACCTGAAAGAAAGGACTTGACTGACATCAGAACTGGAACCTAGATTTTCTGACTAGTGCACTGGCATGCTCACAGCTACTGCAGCCTTGACCTGCTGGACTCAGGCGATCCTTCCACCTCAGCATTACAAGTAGCTGAAACTACAGGCACATGCCACCATGCCCAGCTAATTTTTTGGTTTATTGTAGAGACTAGATCTTGCCAAGTTGCCTAGGCTGGTCTCGAACCCCTGGGGCCAGGCAGTCTTCTTACTTCTGCCTCCCAAAGTGCTGAGATTATAGGCACCTGACTAAATCTTGCATTTTATGTTTCATATTTTATTGTTTTCAGGGGCCCTGTTGTGTCTTGCTCCCCACAGACAATGGGGTTGGAAAGACCAGTTAGGAGACTTTGGCAATTATCAGGCGAGGAGGGACAGAAGCCCACCTGGATCTGAGCAGTGACATAAGAAGGGAGAGAGTGAGGGTAAGGGATAAATGGAGGTGCTATAAATCCAGAGGAGGAGGAAAAGTCAAAGGTGGCTCCATGATCTGAGCTTCCATGGCTCTGGGAGTGATGGTAAGTCATGGAAGTGTGATGGGAACACACTTTTTTGTTTTGAGTTTAAGTCTCACTCTGTTGCCCAGGCTGCAGTGCAGTGGAATGTTCACAGCCACTGCAACCTTGACCTGGTGGGCTCAGATGATCCTTCTGCCTCAACCTTCCAAGTAGCTGGAACTACAGACACATGCCACCAAAGCTCAGCTAATTTTTTTATTTATTGTAAAGATGAGGTCATGCCAAATTGCCCAGCTGGTCTTGAACCAGTGGGCTCAGGCAATCCTCTCACCTCAGCCTCCCAAAATGCTGGGATTATAGGTGTGAGCCACTGTGCCCAGCTTTTTTTTTTTTTTTTTTTTTTTTAGTTGGAGTCTCACTCTGTCACTCAGGCTGGAGTACAGAGACACACTCACAGCCACTGCAGCCTTGACCTACTGGGCTCAGGCGAGCCTTCCACTTCAGTCTTCTAAGTAGCTAGAACTGCAGGAGCGTGCCACTGTGCCCGGCTAATTTTTTGATTTATTGTAGAGATGAGGTCTTACCAAGTTGCCTTGGCTGGTCTCAAACCTCTGGTCTCAGACAATCCTCTCTCCTCGGCCTCTCAAAGTGCTGGGATTACAGGTTTGAGCCACCGTGCCCGGTGGGAACACACTTTTAAAAAGATACTGAGTAGTTTTAGACAAGGTGAGTTAGGAGTTCAGGTCAGACACCAACAAGGACATGGCAAGATGGAGCAGAAAACAGCACTCATACAGCAGAGAGAGGTTAGAACCAGTAATGCACCAGGAAGCGGCATAGTTCATTTCTTTCTTTCTTCTTTTTTTTTTTTGAGTTGGGATCTCAGTCTGTTGCCCAGGCTGGAGTGCAATGGTACTATCACAGTTTACTGCAGCCTCGAACTCCTGGGCTGAAGCAATTTTTCTGCCTTGGCTGCCTGAGTAGCTGGGACCACAGACAGGTGCCATTACACCTGGCTAATTTTTTGATATTTTGTAGAGACGAGGTCTCACTATGTTGCCCAAGCTTGTCTCAAACTCCTGGCCTCAAGCGATTCTACTGCCTCAGCCTCCCAAAGTGCTGATATTACAAGCATGAGCCACTGTGCCCGACTTTGTTTCTTACTTTTAATTTCAATTTGTTTTTCATTTTAAACATTTATGTGTTGTTTGGGCTTGGTGGCTCAGCCTGCCATCCCACGCCTTTGGGAGGCTGAAGTGAGTGGATTGCCTGAGCCCGCGGGTTCGAGACCCGCCTGGGCAGCGAGACCTCATCTCTACAATAAATAAAAAAAAAAAATCAGCTGGGCGTGGTAATGTGTGCCTGTAATTCCGGCTACTCGGAAGGCTGAGGCGGAAGAATCGCTGGAGCCCAACAGGTGAGGCTGCGGTGGCCGGAAGTGGCCACTGCAGTCCAGTCTGGGCGACTGAGTGAGACTCCAACTCAAAGGAAAAAAAATCCCAATTCTGCTATTTACTGGGCATGTGTCTTTCAGTCATTAAATTTCTGTGCCTTATTTTTCTCATGCATTAAGATCATACCTACGCTGTAAGGTTGCATGGGATTAAATAAGATATTGAGTGAAGTTCTCAGTACGCACTAGGCCCTTATCATTGTTATTATTAAAACAACTATTGCCATCATCATCATTTCCTATGTATAAGTGAGGGATGGAGTGAGAAGAGAGTGACGGACTGAGTCTTGGACTGTAGCCACTTGTAGGGAGCAAGAAATGGGGACAGGAAAAATATCCATGACGGCATAGCCCAAGAGCTAGGGGAGGAGGGAGCGGGAGGAAGAGAGAGAGAAGGACTGGGGGAGGTTGGGGAGAAAGAGAGAATCAGAAGAATCCTGGAACGAGAGAATTTCCGGGACAGGTCAATATAAATGTCATGCTCCAGCAAGGCCAAAGGAAACCAGACTTACAAGAAAAGGCCATTGGGCTGAGTCACTGATTCAGCTCAGCAGATGTTTCAGAACTCCCTGCCAGGCCTCTGCTAGGCATGAGGGACTCAAAGATGAACAGGAGAATTGATAATGGCAAAGGAGGAGGGGCAGAGGGGAGATTTCAAGGGCAGTGGGTGATGAGAAAGTGGTAACAGCAGGTCCAAACTATTCAAACAATTCATTCAAAGAGACTTGGTAGAAGTTAAGTGCATCTGGCTGCTGGGGAGCGGATGCAGCGAGTTTTCAGTCTCAACACGTCCGTGGCAGTGGTTCTAGTACTTTGACTCACCCCTGAAATGGGACTTGTACCTGCATGAAATTTCAACTCTAAGTCCTGGACACGGGACTTTTTATACATTTCCATACGTTTGAGTAAACGGAATGTTAAATTCGAGTGCCGGAGTGCCAGCTCCCTGATGGCTCATTTCACAATTCGAGTCCTGATTTTCTTGCTGTCTTTAAGCAGTCACTCAACGATGGATTGCCCACTCACTAAGACCCTCTTTTAGATTTAGGAGTCTCTGAACATGTAACTTATCAGCTGCTGCTAGAACTATGTCAATTTCATCCAAAACTGTATTTTTCTTTTTTTCTTTTCTTTTTTTTTTTTTGAGTCAGAGTTTCACTCTGTCACCCAGGCTTCAGTACAGTGGCATGCTTGTGGCCACCGCAGCCTCAACCTGCTGGGCTCAGGGGATCTTTCTGTCTCAACCTCCCAATTTTTTAAATTTTGAGTTGGAGTCTCCCTCTGTCACTCAGACTGGAGTGCAGTGGCACGCTCACGGCCACTGCAACCTCAACCTGCTGGACTCAGGCAATCCTTCCACCTCAGCCTTCCTAGTAGCTGAAACTACAGGCCTACACCATGATGCCTGGCTGATTTTTCTATTTATTGTAGAGATGAGGTCTCACCAAATTGCCCAGGCTGGTTTCAAACCCCTCGATTCAGGCAATCCTCTCACCTCTGCCTCCCAAAGTACTGGGATTATGGGCATGAGCCACCCTGCCTAGCTAAAACTGTGTTTTTCAAAGACCATTTATCTATATCTTGAGGGTGAACCTTCTGCTGGACTTGCCCAACTGGTGTCGACTGACTGCCTTGTGTTTGAGGATAACTTTGGTCCTGTTTGTTTCCTATGTGCCCAAGCACATTGTAAACCCTTGAGGGCAGAACCAGTTGTACTTCTCATCTTTCACAGAGTAGATTCACAATATGTTTTTCTTGAATCCTTGAATGAGGTTGAGTAACTGATCACAATCTCAAATTCATGTTTAAAAAAAAATTTCCCTTGACTGGTTTTTAAATTACGAAATCCATTTTTGTTTATTAAAAAACAAAGTCAGAGTATTGATGTGTATAAAGTCAGAGCCTGAACGTCATGTCTTCCCAGATTCCCTTCCTGGAGGTAATCACTGCTAACAGCTTGGCTTTCCTTCCTGCCTTTCTTCTGAGACTTCTTACAAATGGTATTTGCTTGTCATTACCATCCAGGGATTAGCACAATGCCCAACATGTTAATTGCTGAATAAATGGTTATGAAATGAATGAATGGTATCTAGGTATCTTTTAACTTCCAAATTCCACCTTACCCGAATAGAGAGAGGCAGTGTGATAAAAAATATAAACT